TTTACTGACCCCAAACTTTTGAACTGTAGTGTATATTGTTAGAAAAGATTTCTATTTTAAATAAATGCTCTTCTTTTTAACTTTTTATTCATCAAAGAATCCTGAAAAAAATATCACAGGTTCCAAACAAATATTAAGCAGCACAACAGTTTCCAGCACTGATAATAAATCAGAATATTAGAATGATTTCTGAAGGATCGTGTGACACTGAAGACTAGTAATGATGCTGAACATTCAGCTTTGCATCACAGGAATAAATTATATTTTAATGTATATTCAAATAGAAAAACTTAATTTTACATCATAATAATATTTCACAATATTAAATTTTTTCCTGTATTTTTGATCAAATAAATGCAGCATTGATGAGCATAAGAAACTCCTGTAAAAAACATTAAAAATCGTTCTGATCCCAAACCTTTGACCGGTAGTGTATATATAATTAAATATAAAATTATATATACATAATTAATGGATAACACAAGACTTCTCCTCCTTACAAATGGTAAGATTGTCAAAAGCAAAAATGCAATATTTTCGAAATGCAATATTTAGTGAGAAAGTGTGATGTTCTTCAGCAAAACAGCCACTATTTTTGGAATCAACACCCCATAATTAGTATGAAACGTGATGTTGGTCCGTACCTCCTGAAAGCGTTCCAGAAGCTTTGGCGATCTCCCCTCGGAATATACAACGACCATCAAGAATCATTTCCATTTCTCTCACTCCTCTGAACGAGTGAATCCTGGACTTGTTGTAATTCCAAACTCGGATCATCGCCAGGCAACATCTAACACCCAGATCCACGCTGATGACGTGCTTGCGACCCGGTGTGAACGGAGCCAGCCAGAGGTGCATGTCGTCCTGCGTCCGGTGTACTCCGTCTATCAGGTTAGTAACGACTCGTGGGTCTTTCCCATAGGCCGGCAGGATATTGATATCCGGCGGGTCCGCCACGATGTGGATCGGTGTGACCGGCTCACCGCTGGAGGAAAAGATCTCGATACCGTTGAGGCCGACATAGTGACGGTCGCCCCACGTGGACAGGATGTTAATGCCGAGGTGGCGACCCTGCGGGAGAACCGGGATCTCAAAGTCCTCGTCACGAGGGTCGTCTTCGGGGTCGTCAGAATCAGGGAGCGCCGGTGCAGAGAGGCGTCGGGTGGAGACGGGTGTCGGACGGGATTGACGCTGAACAAACTCGTCGAAAATATCTCCCTCCAGCCCCATGTTGGAGATCCGCCCTCGCTGACACTGGTTAAACTTCGTCAACGAGTCCCAGGATTCCATTAATGGGTCATCCGGTTCGCACCAATGAGGTTTCGGTCTTCTGTTACGGACGGACGTCGGGCTGCTTTCCTCTGTGGCAAGAAGAAACAGATCAAAATAAGCAGTCATAAATAAACTAAAAATGTGCATAAATTCATGGGGAAGTATGATAAGCTGCATCCGAGTTTATATATTTCTACTATGCACTGGTGATGGGAAAGTATGCAGGGTGTATTAAGACACAGCATAAAATTCATGAAACCACCCTGAAATTAACTGCTGAAAACCCATTTTACCTCAGTTTTCTGACATACTTCAATGTGAAACGTGATATCAACAGGAAAAAATATTCAAATATAATCAAAATTTGATTTTATCCTTTGGAAAGTAGTGGGAGTTTCATACCATTTTAGAGGCAAAGCATTTGACAAAACAATACAAAGATAAGCATTCATATCTTTAATAATGTTCCTGGTCTTAGGGTCTTTTTCCATATGTTTGTTAGGCCTATATATATATATACCGGTATATATATATAAACGATTTAATACTAATTTATCATAAAAAATGTCTAATAAAATTAATTTCTAAAACTTTAACAGTTTAATCAATCTTTTAAAATGTGATTAAATGAAAAATAATTAATTGACCACAATTTTAAACTTTTTCAACTAAAGCGCTTTTTGTCAAAAAAGGTGCTAGTAATGAAATTAAATGAAAATACAACAATTAATTTATTTTATTTTATTTATTTTTTTGCACAACAGAACTTGCAACCTGAATAAATTAGAACATGGATGAAAAAATATCTGTATAATATATTATATTTCTTAATTATTATTAGAATTAGAATTATTGTTGTCATTATTATTACCACTTTGAGAATTAGGTTTTACTATACAATAGCAATAAATAGCAATATAATGCAAACTTTATTGTGATTTGTTGCAAAATCTTCTGTCAAAACTGCACCAATCATTCACTCTAGGCTAAATATGCACAAAAAAAGTAAAATTACTTTTTAAATTTTTAAAATTTATAAATTATTTATTTTTTCCTGGTGAATAGTGATATACCCAGTCCAAGAACCAAGTGCCACAAACCTGCCTAGCAATAGGGATTGTGGGTAAGGTTATACCAGAAAAGCATGAATAGACCATCTGAGAAGCTCTGTCATATTTCAGTGCCCTATAATTTGCAAAGAACGAACCCTAATCGTACATACTACTCTAGATGGCTAGAATGCCGCTGTAGTTCTATATGTTCAGAAATGTACCTGTTGAGGTGAAGTCGCTGCTGCGGTCCGGTTGTGTTCTGTTTACAGACCGTGCTGAACCTCTCCTGCCACTGATGGGCCGCTCTGTCCTCTCAAACCGCTCATCCCACAGGTCCAAACCCTGGTCCAACCGATCGCTCAAGTGCTGCTCTAAGTGCGGTTCTTGCTCTGTCCGCAAGCTGTAATTCAGTCCCAGATCGGGGTCCAAATCCACCAAATCAGAACTGAATTCGCCGGACGCTGCTCTCTGCAGGCCTTTGTTGCTGGAGGCCTCTTTACAGGAGCGCACAGGGTTGCACGAGATGTCAGGCAGCACTGAGTGTTTGGATTTGGGTTCGGCTGTATTCTGCGACTGGAGCCACTGAGGACGCTCTCGATCCCGAGTCGCTTCGGCCTCGTCTGCTGCGGTTCGATTCAGCGCCTGGAGCCAATGTGGAATCCGACTGGAGGACGGCTGCGTGGTCACCGTCTTCATCGCCTCCGTCCGGCCGGCGGGTAACATGAGGTCCAGAGGAGAAGAGTCATCTCTTTCTAGAGAGTCTCTCTGCATTTCTGCCACACAGCTGCCAGGGTTAACTGGGTCAGATTTGTCCTGGCTTGTTTCTACTACTGAAACACCAGCATTCGACTCCTGAGGCTCTGGCTCATGTGGACTGCAGTCTTGCAGACTGTGTCCTGAAGAGACAGGGCTTGGAGAGGTGCACTCTGGGAGATGTGGTTCCTGGAGCTCAATGGAGTTGCTGTAGTCAAAGACCTGGTTACCACAGCCCTTCTCCAAGTGACCCTCGAACACCAGAGTGCTGTTAACATACAAGCGAATGTGTCGCGCGCCAACATCCAGATCCTGTCAGAAGAACACACAAAATCAAATAGATCATTAAATGTGAGTGTTACCAATGTGCAAACACATCTGGGTATTTATATAACATGACATGAATTTCCATAAAACAAACACTATTAACTGTTCCTAATGGGATGAATGAGAGGAAAAACATAAAAAATAACATATATATATATATATATATATATATATATAGAAAATAACATAATAAAAACACACAGAATATATATATATATATATATATATATATATATATATATACACACACACACAAACACATAAGATATATTTTAATGACTATGAAGGGGTGTGTTATATTAGGCTATGTTTTTATATTCATATACCCATAATTATCTAAAAAAAAATGTGTGGGCGCTCATCTAATATGTTTCTATACTACTTGAGTGTGCAAATCAGCATATTAAGGATTATGTGACACTGAAGATGCTGAAAATTCAGCTTTGATCACAAGAATAAATTACATTTTACATATTCAAATAACAATGATTTTAAACTGTAACAATATTGCACAATATTACTGTTTTTACTATATTGATCAAATAAATGCAACCTGGAAAAAGCAGAAAAAAAAATCATACTGACCAAAACTTTTATTTAACTACTTCAAAAGTAGCTTCCACAACACTATATACATGCTTTAGGACTGTATACCTTGGTTCCATGAGAGCGATTCTCCGCATAGCTCTGATAACCCGAATCTGCTCGTCATCATCATCATCTTCCTCCTCCTCCTCCTCCTCCTCAAAAAGAAGCAGGCAGACATTTAATCATCCTAATTAGGCTACATTATCTATTATTTATGTAGGAGTATGACAAAGCATTTTATATGTGCTGTAACTGATGTGTTGATGTAAATGAAGCTCTACCGGCGTGTGTTGGGCCGTACTCCTCTCCTGCCGGTGCGTTTGCAGCGGTAAGTTTTCTCTCTGCAGGGCCTGAAATACGCCGGCAGCCGTTTCCTCTGAATCTCGCTCCTCCTGCACCTTACGAGCCGCAGACAGAGGGCGCTCTATACGACTGCACATCCCTACAAGACGACAAATCATATGTTAGTCTCTTGAGAACTGGTGCTGTACGTGTTGCTGTCTTGCGGCCTACTAAGGCAGCATTCTAACTTAAATGGGAGCGTACTGCAATGCGGACCAGACTTTATGTACATATTTCTCTATAAACTGTTAATGATTGCATAACTGGTAATGAAGCATAAACTGATGAGTAAAGGTCATTGCACACTAGGGCTGTCAAAAAAAATTTGAATTTTGAATATTCGTCGAATTTAAAATAAAAATCCACATTCGAATGCAAAAATGTTGCATTCAAATTTTAGGTGTGCGTTAAGGAGGCAGCCTTATCAGTGGCGCACGAGATGCGATGACGATGTAAGTGTGGTTGCATTATAATGTTTTTGTTAGCCTATCCAGTTGAAGCCACTAGATGCGGCGCTGCTGCGTTGTTCATTAAAAATATTGCGGAAAAGGAGAACATCGATGCGGAGAATATCTTGTTTACAACAAAACTGAAACCAAGCAGTTGACACAGAACACATATTTCGCGCATTTTTTAGAGGGACATCTATTACCGTTGCACTCGCACAAAGGAGCCGCATGTTTAGAAAGCCAAGTAAAATTAATGCAAGTTTAACTTTGAAAAAAACATATATCGAGACTTTATGGCAGGGTTTTTTCCCCATCCCACTGCATCTCATGTTTTTAAATGAAAAATGTACTCCGTGTGATTGGCTTTCCGCCCTTTGTATTAAACTATGCATACATACATGATGCTGTTTTGTTTATAGTCGTTTAAGCAACTTAATTATTTATAATTGGTTTATAAACATTATTTTAAACATTAAGCATAGATATAATTTTAAGATATAATTTTTCACAGATAGTCATGTTATCTTATGCTTTGAATAAACGTGCATTAGTAATATTTAGCTCGATGCGCCCTCTTGTGGCCTCAGAAGAGAAGCCAAAAGTTTTTCTTCACCCTAACTGAAATTATGTATTTTAAATTCGAATTTTGATAAATTCGGATCGGGTTCGATTTTCTGCGTTTTTCGCATCCGTAGCAAGCATTTTGAGAGGTGTTTTATCAATTCAGAGCCACCGTACAAGCGAACGCCAAAATCCAGAATGGAGATTTTCAAGTTCATCCATTTCGTCCCACAGCACAAAGCGCTGTAAAGATCCTTGCACACCAAGTTCACAGAAATTGGTGGTCTTCTTTCTAATATGTGGCTCTAGTATCGCTAGCAAAGCATCAAACTGAGCCATTGACATCCTGAAGTAAACTTTGAATCGCCCCGTGATGATAATCCCACTGCTCTTAAATACGGAGGAGGAATCTCAGGATTGGATGGACCCAATACCCAATAAGAAGCGAGAGGACAACAAAATCACCCTCACTGCTTGAAGACTCCATTTAGTACTGTTTTGTGAATGGATTAATTAATACGCATCGGACTCAGTGTGCAAGGTTCCAGCCCGTGACGAATTTTTAGGATAACGAATATGAAAAAACGCATACGAAAATATCGGACTCAGTGTGCAATGACCTTAAGTGTGAGTAGCACATACGTGACTTCTCCTGTCTGCTAGCAGATGTTCTCTCTGTCGGTCTCCTGACGGTGACTGGTTTGGTAGGGATGTATGACTCCACATTGTCCTTTCTTTTAGCTGAGAGAGAGTGTTCGATCTTTCGCCCACCTGCACACACACACACACACACACACAAAATCACCACTGATTTTCACTGATCTAACATCATCATGTTTAGAAATCAAGAACAGAACTAGAGCCATGCAATTTGGGGGAAAATATAATTATATATTATCATTATTTTTTAAATTCTAAGTATTATTAGTGAAAAAATTAAAAATGATTATTAAAAAATATTAAACAAAACAAGAAATATTACTGTTTAAATAAACAAGTATTTATTAAAAAAAAAAAAACTACTTTGAGACTGCGGTCAGAAATCATTACCTTGCGAGGAGGGGCTGAATTCCAGCATGATGAGGTCACCATGGCTGAGCTGCTTGCTGATTGGCTGGCTTGTGGGTTGGGCAGGAAGTGTGAGGTCAGGGAGACTGTCGCTGCTTTCCTCTCTCTCGATCTGCTCCTCGATCCATTCCTCCTCCGACTCCTCTCCGGCTGAGTCTCGACTGCTGCGTCTGACGCTCACCTCCAGGCTGCGTCGCAGTGCCTTAAACACACAAGCGCTGGTCAAGTATCAAGTAGGAAGATGAAGCACAATTTTTTCCACATGATTTTTGGGTGAACAATCCTTTTAAGAGCAATGCAGTGTTTGTGTATATCCTCAAGTGTGCTCATATCAGTGACACTTCCTCCTCACCTTGACCTGGTCAGCATTCAGAAGAACCCTGTCGACAGGCTCCGACTCGCTGCGTGACGTCAGGGCGACAGAACGTGACGCTTCACTGCTGTCGTAAGCAGACTGACAGACAAACACAAGGTTTTACAGTCGTTATAATTGATCTGGAGATCAGAATGGCATACTAAGTACTATTTCTCAAAGAAAGTAGTATGTAGCATGTGCAACGTACACAATTTTCTGTATGCATGGAATACCCGGATGACACACCGCATTTGCCCAAGTGTGCCGGAACACATTGTGTGGAATACTGCATCCCACAATGCAATGTGCTAGTGACTCATTATTTGTTCAGACTGTCATAAAGAGGTTTTCACACCTCATGTCAATACAAAATAAGCATAATTATGAAATATTGGAAATTCTGAAATAGTTTTTTTATGGCAATGCTCATGAAACAGAAATGGATGTTTTGGAATTTGGAGTTCCCTGTGTTTATAAATCAAGCTATTATCGCTAATTTTCTTTGTACAGAATTCTTAACATTTGAAGAATTATTATATGTGTGAAAAAACATAATAAATAATAATATAAAAAAAATATTAAAAAACCCATGAAATAATATAGATAAAATATACATTTGAAAATGAGAAAATGTAAACAAATTTAAAAATAAAACGAATAAAAATGTCTCATATTTTCTGACCAGTGAAGATGTCAGCAGGTTAAATAAAAGTCCGAATTACTAGCCCAATTAGACAAAAATAAATAAATAAATAAAAAGAAGAAGAAAAATCCTTTTTGTGAAGCTTTGTAGTGTTACCTAACTACAAAATATACTGTCTATCCCTTATATATTTAAATATAAATGTTGATGTTTTTTAATTCAGAAATAATTTATTATATGGCAACGCTCATAATGCAAAAATTGATTCATGTGTTTTTAAAAATACCTAACTACATTAACTCGCCTTAAAATACTAAAAAATAAGAATCACAGTTGCCAGGTGGAGCTGGAAGTTGGAGTTTATAAGCTGTAATTAAAATCTAGATTGGCCAGAGCTGAGAACTAGTAATTACGGTAATTCTGACGTGGCATAAATGCTACATTATTCCTGAGATGAAAACTGGACAACCATAGAGACATATTCTCACCTCCATATCTCCACTCTCGTACGGCTCAAAGTCATCGGAGTATCTGTGCTCTGGTGAAATCTTCGCTTGTTTTTCTTTCTCAGTGCAGATGTACACAGATTCCTACAGCAATGTGCATAAAGTTAAAATGCAGTGCCATACTGAAGAAACAGAAAGGGAAAAAATTAAGTTCATACAGCACACGTCTAGTGTGGAATGAGTGTTTGGGGTTTCTTCAAATCACTATAAGTGATAGTAACAGAGACTTATGAAGCCATTAGGAGTAACTGGACAGTGCGTGTGTGTACCTGCACCCATCGTCGTCTCTGTGCTTTCTCAGGCGCCGTGTGGCTCCTCTGTTTCTGTCGATCGACCGCACACTTCTCTCCACTCTCTCTGGATGAATCTATGTGAACACGGCTGCTTTATTTCATTCAGACGTCACAGGAAGTCTGTGCTCATCCGCTCATCAGTGTAGGGTGAGTGTTTACCTGCAGTGCGTGTGCTTCTCTGTGCCGGCGGATGGGCCGCTACTGAAGGCTGGACGGTTTTCCTGCTGGATCGGCTGTTCTGAGGCGCATTAGCAGTGTTGACATGAGCGCCGTTGATGTACAGATTGAAGCCCTGCTCCAAAAGCTCCAACTCCGCCTGGCGAGGGTCCTTCCTCTGCAGTCTTCTCAAGGCCCTGAGAGAGAACATAAAACACACACATACTAGCTGATTGTCCCACATTGACTGAGGCAGAGAAAGGCAGGTAATTAGCAGGAAATAGAGGTATTTAAACAATGGCTATTAAAGATTCTTAACTTCATTATTCAGGTATTTCACAGTACATTTAACCCTATGCAACATATATTTCCCAGCAACATATCTTACATTTTTGATCACATGCATGTGGTTTTAGGTCTCGCAAAACGTAAAAATTTGGTTTTCTGTAACATTTGATTGTGAATTCTGTGGGGTCTGTAAAATCTTTTAAATGTTTTTGAGAGACATCCCATATGCTGACCAAAGCTACATTTATTTGATCAAAAATATAGTAAAATTAACAATAAAATTGTTAAAAATTGATACAGTTTAATATAACTATTTTCTATGGGAATATATTTTAAAATGTAATTTATTTCTGTGATCAAAGCTGTATTTTCAGCATCATTACTCCAGTCTTCAGTGTCACATGATCTTCAGAAATCATTCTAATATGCTGCTTTGCTGCTCAAGAAACATTTCTGATTATTATCAATGTTTAAAACAGTTGTGCTGCTTCATATTTTTGTGGAAATCGTGATACATTTGATTTTCAGGATTCTTTGAGGGAACAGAAAGTTTAAGGGCAGCATTTATTTGTAATCATTATAAATGTCTTTACTGATCATTTTGATCAATTTAATGCATCTTTCTGTATTCATTTCTTTAAAAATGCTATTCATTTAATATCTAATTTACAGCTATTATTGCAAATTTGCTTGATAAAGAATCGCTAGTATGATAATAATTAGATAGTTTCTGATTTTTATCAATGTTTAAAACAGTTGTGCTGCTTCATATTTTTGTGGAAATCGTGATACATTTGATTTTCAGGATTCTTTGAGGGAACAGAAAGTTTAAGGGCAGCATTTATTTGTAATCATTATAAATGTCTTTACTGATCATTTTGATCAATTTAATGCATCTTTCTGTATTCATTTCTTTAAAAATGCTATTCATTTAATATCTAATTTACAGCTATTATTGCAAATTTGCTTGATAAAGAATCGCTAGTATGATAATAATTAGATAGTTTAAAATAAACATTAAATGATCAATGTAAAATAGTACATTTAAATGTAAAATCAGATAAAAAAATACAAATTTAAATGTATATTTTTTGTGAATAACTGAATATCTAGCCTAACCAGACAAGCAGCAAAAAGCCTCGTCACTAAACCCCGCCCTATGTTATTAGTAGATTTAATTTTAGAGAATAATATTAGTAATTAATCATTAGTAATAATATATTACTAGATTTGACTAATTACTAATAATTTTAGATTTAAATTAAATATAAATCATTTGACTTTTTTTGCATGCCGTGATCTCCAATGAGACCGTAAACAAGTTTGAATGCTACCCAACAGAGAATTCAGCTTTCTGAATCATCATGTGCGTTCTGGAGAAAGACAAGATTTCGTTTCACTGGCAGCTGGTTATTTACGAGCATCTGAGTTCAAAGACAACACATCACTTAATGCTACAAATTTCCACGGCCAGTTAGAATTTCACTCTAGCGGGTTTCCAGCCAATCAGAGCAGCTCATTAGCGGGTCCAATCTTGTAGAACGTCACATGGACGAGCAGCGTTTGCATGCGATTCTTGCCGTGCTTGTAATAGTAGCCATATCGTTCAACCTGAGCTCACACAGTTAACCTATTTTTGCGTTATCTGAACTGTGTTTGTACATTTGTGTTCGGGTGTGTCATCAAACCTGTTTTTGTGCTGCAGGTTGATTAAATATTCATCCAGCTTCTCCTCGGCCGAGGAGTGTTTCCCTCCCCTGCTCCTCCTGAGCTCCTGCAGACAATACAAACTCTCAGTCAATATGAGAACAATATGAGACAGTAGATGATATATAAAGCTACACAGAGAGACAGAGGTGACAACTGGGATGGAATGGGAATTACAAGGAATTTCCTATTTATTTGACTATTATGTTTCCTGAACAATTATTTTAGCAATTTTGAGAAAGCAAAAAATATATGAAAGAATAATGACAGGTTTACTCTCAGTCATTAGTTGGACAAACAGTTGACTCTGCATACTAACCTGTGACCGGAGCAAGTATTTTAACGGGGAAAAAAATCTTTAAAGCAATCCTTCACCCACAAAAGTCCATAATAACGCCTCCTCCAGTGAGAATGCCCATCCACTGTTGTATCTCACATCAAAATCCAACCACATATTTGTTTAGAACTGTTTTGGCTTGTAAACGGTGCTTGAACTGTGCAGATTTCTCTCCTGATTCAGACCAGATGACTTTTTCAGTGGAGAAAGCAACATTATGGATATTATAACGACATCAAAACATTCGTAATTGTGGATTTGTTTCTTACAAACATGCAGCTTTTGGCTTCTCAAGATGTTAACTGATGGACTGGAGTGGTGTGGATTACTGTGATGTTTTTATCAGCTGTTTGGACTCTCATTCTGACGGCACCCATTCACTGCAGAGGATCCATTGGTGAGCAAGTGATGCAATGCTACATTTCACCAAATCTTACAAAATTCACCAAATTCATCTATATCTTGAATGGCCCGAGGGTGAGGACCTTTTTAGCCGATTTTTTATTTATGGCTGAACCAATAAGTCGAAGACTGATTTGTGAGTCTTTTAGAACAATTCATTGAAAATAAGAAGTTCATAAGAGTCATTTGGATTATATGCTTGTTCTTGCATGCAACTAGCAAAGATGTCACAACAGAAAGATGCAAGAGACACAGACATGAAAGAAGAGAGACCGGATGACTCTTACAGAATCTGCACTGTTTTTTAATCACAGCATCTGGATACTAGAGGAGCGTGAAACCAGAAGAGAAGAGAGAAAACACACAGGAAAGAGAAGATAAAGTGTAAGTAAGATTTACAGCTGACAAACTAGGTGTTTTGCTCTTGATTGGGAAGAAGATTTTTTCAATACGCAGCTCGTGTGTTTCTGTCAGGTGTCCACTGCACATGACACATCCAATCACAATTCAGCGATGTAAAATCAGTGTAAATCACTGTACTGATGCTGTAACAGATCTACCTGACCAAACTTACTTGTGCTGAATCATGATAAGCTTTTAGCAGAAATAAATAACATTTTCTTTTGACCGGGAAAGCTATAAGACTTTTTTTAAGCTATCATTTTGAAAGGAAAGGTCATGTTATCATTTAGATTATTGTATGTTTTTATTATTTTATGTACTTTTATTATTATTATCATCATAATTTTTTGCTTTGTTCCTCCACTTTTGCGAGTCACATAAAAGTGTCTGCTAAATGCATAATATAAATGTACATTTATTTTATAACACATTTGTGAACCATGTCAAAATTGTTATTTATTACTTTATTTTCATATTTTCTTTTTGTTTTAACTTAAAGTTTTAGTCATTTTTATTTTTTATTTTATTTAGGTATTTTAGTACATACAAGTGAAAGTAAACGTGAAAGGTTGTCTTGGTGACTAATTAAAACAAAAATTTATTTAAGTTCTTTTTATATTTTATTTTATTTCAGTTAACATTAGTTTTTTTAAGTAACAGGACTGTTTGTTAATGGTTTATTTTTAGTTAACAATAAAAACCCTGGTCTGAACATGTTGTTTCTGGTTTTATTTTCAGTATACAGTCTTCCTGTATGGATATAAAATGGAAACAATAACGTTTTATAATTACTATTTGGGCAAACAAAGGATAACAAACTTTACTAGATTTAAACGAGCTGCTGCACAGACATATGTACATAAAAAGGCAAAAACTGCCAAAAGAAAACAAACAGCATATATCTCAATTATACTAGAAAAAAGAGACACTAGTTAACACTACATAACTTACTAATTAATACTATATGACTTTAAACTAGTGCTGTCAAACGATTAATCGCATCCAATATATATATATATTTTACATAATATATGTGTGCATACTGTGTATATTAAATATAACATAAATATGTTGTTTATATATTAAATATATGTATTTATAATATAAATTATATGAATAAAAGACGTAAATATTTTCAAAATATATACTGTGTGTGTGTACTTATATATACATAATATACACAGAACACACACATTATGCAGACAAAAACTTTTATGTCGTATGCGATTAATCGCGATTAATCGTTTGACAGCACTACTTTAAAAACCTTTATTGATTGTATATATCTCTACATGCACACCTATAATGTTTAATAATGCTTTGCCAGTGTAAAGCTTTTGTTTGTACCAGGTTTCAAAGCTTATACTGAACTCATTATTATTAAAGCTAACCTAGCCTTAACCCAGCTATCAGCTGTACAAACTGATCAGACAGATAAAGCGATCAGATCAGATGTTATACAGCTGTTCACACGATGATAATTAGCCTCTCTGCTAACAACACACACAAACCCTTTCCGATATTAAACTCTACGGCATAAATCATCATATTAACTCTAGTACTCATTTCTACACACCCTGAAAAACACGTGTTGAATAAAAAAAGCTGTCCACTTACAGTCCATGACATTTCTCAGCTGAAATCGCCCTTCTGTTTGCAGCAAGAGCGTCTGTGTGTTGTTGCGTTCAGCGAGGGCTGGTAACCAGGAGAAACGCTGACCAATCACAGCACGTTCTCTAAACACATTCCCCGCCCATCTAACTGTAACTACGAGAAATTGACCAATCACAGCGCTATGGAAAAACAAGCCGCCAACACAGCGACACGCTGCCCAATCGTAACACGGCTTCTCATTAGTTACATGTGCCTCCCAAGATTATTAAATAATTCTATTACATTTTATTTCATCTTGCACTGACCTAACACTTATATGGAAACACTTTTAAATATGCAAAGCGGTCAAAAATAAAATAAATAAATATGCAAAAATATATGACTGCCATAAAATCTAAAATATTTTTATAATAATTTTTAATGTTAGTAATTGCCCCGTTTGTTTATTTTTAATTACACATTCCCCGCCCATCTAACTGTAACTACGAGAAATTGACCAATCACAGCGCTATGGAAAAACAAGCCGCCAACACAGCGACACGCTGCCCAATCGTAACACGGCTTCTCATTAGTTACATGTGCCTCCCAAGATTATTAAATAATTCTATTACATTTTATTTCATCTTGCACTGACCTAACACTTATATGGAAACACTTTTAAATATGCAAAGCGGTCAAAAATAAAATAAATAAATATGCAAAAATATATGACTGCCATAAAATCTAAAATATTTTTATAATAATTTTTAATAAGTTAGTAATTGCCCCGTTTGTTTATTTTTAATTTCTTAATTTTAATCGTTGTTACCAGTACTAATATTTGGTCTGTTTATGCATATTTGTACTCATAAAATACAAATGGGTCATTCCTTTTGAACACTTAAATAAATAGTCTTAATAATCTTGTTCAGTGAAGGATTGAGAGTCAACTTTCACGAGGGTGTCAACTAAAGTTAATACTGTTTTTAACCATCTTTAAAATGTTAATAGTACCATACCCGTTTTTGTTTGATAATACATTGATGATACTCACTGTGATTGTTGTTTTCCCTCCAAAACGATGTCACTTCCTGGAGGCTGGTGTCATAAAGGAAATCGCTTTGAAGATTTACAGACTAACAGGGTGAAAATATCAGACACA